TTATTTTGATATATCACAGTGAAAGATTTATCGTCCTCTTTTTTTTTTTTTTTTTTTTTTTTTTTAAAAAAAAAAAAAAAAAAAAAAAAAAAGAGTCCTGTCCAACTTTACAAACCACTTCTTTTCCTTTTTCTCCTCATTCTTTCCAAACCATGTCTAGATGTGCTGACTTTTACATTCCTTAAATAAAACGTTAGATTCTGGCTTTGTGTGCTGTGCTTAGTTCATGCTGCATATGAGCATTTGAAGCAAGCACAGCCTCTTGCTCTTTGTATTTCCCCTCCTTTGCAGTCCTGTTCCAAAGTCTTCAGGATGTTGTGGTGTCAGAGGCAGAGCTGGCCTTGCTGCAAGCTCACACATAACTCCAGCTCTCAGTGCACAGACCCAGAAGCTGAGGCTCATCAGGGAGGTGTAACATCCTTGGACATAGAATTAGAAGGTGGCAAAGCCCAGTTAAACTGAGCCTGGCTGACTCCTAGTTCTCCCAATGCACCAGCATGGCAGAAAGGACAGAGAAAAACAGTGGCAGCCGGCACCTGTGGGGATTGGTGGACCTGCCTGGGTTTCTGCAGCTAGAGACCATAAGGATATCTTAGAACGGTTGTCCTGAACTGTGGTAGTGGTCAGGAGCTGTGGCTAAATTAGCAAACTCTGACAATGGGTCCTCTTCTGGATTAAAATTTTCTTTTCTATTGATGTAGGGGTCCATGGTTCAGAAATGTTTGCGGAGATGGATTTGCGGGCCATAAAGCCTTACCGCATCCTCATCAAAGAAGTGGGGCAGAGACACTGCATCGACCCCTCTATCATTGCAGCCATCATTTCCAGAGAAAGCCACGGTGGAGCTGTCCTGCAAGACGGCTGGGACCACAGGGGACAGAAATTTGGCTTGATGCAGGTATACAGCTAGGCGTGTCCATCAACCTCACTTCTTGTTGAAGCTCAGTCCAAACTCAAATCCATTCCAGGACCTCAAACCCCCTGGTGTCTGGTCATAGGGACTTCAGTATAATTTGCTCTGTAATACATCTTTGATTTTCATTCAGAGATTATCAGTAAACATATCACAGTATAAAACCTGTGTATCCTAACTCTAATTCTACCATAAATAACATGCACTATAATTCATTTGGGAGCATGTTATAAAAGGCTTATTTTTACAATTGTCTTCTTGGGGTTCCTGAAGTAGTAAAATTCATCCACATAAATTGAAACACTGTAATTAAGTCTTACTTCAACCAATTCGTTCCTTTGGATTAACTTGAGGGAAGGGATTCTAGTTATTTGGATATTTGCTTCCAAGTCGTTTGTTTTGATGCAGGGTCTTATTCTGTAGCTCTGGCTAGCCTGTAATTTACTTTGTCACCCAGGCTAGTCTGAAACTCGTGGCAATCCTCCTGCTTCTACCTCCCTAGTGCTAGGATTATGGGTGTGTGTCACAAGCCGGGCCAGAAACAAAATTTTATTTGAACTAGTTGCATAATTATTTTTCACTGAAAATGTCTAGAGTTTGGGTGCTTATTATTTGTTTTGAAACAGCTTTTTCCCCCTCCTCATCCTCCTCTCCTTTCTTTTTTTGCATATCAGAAAGCTCAGCTAAAGTTGTGCACACTTACTATGCTTCTCCCAAACCTTTATTTCGCTTTCTTCTCTGTGAAAGACAAGACAATAGAATTAAAGGAAGAATATTGAAGTCAATGTACCCAAGGCAAGGAGGACAGGAACAGCAGAAAGTATGTTAGCTTGCCCAGATGCTGACATGACTATTTGAATTTTCTAGCTTGACAAACAAATTTACCATCCTATTGGTTCCTGGGACAGCAAAGACCACCTTCTGCAGTCTGTTGGAATTTTAGCAGACAGAATTAAGGCAATCCAGAGAAAATTTCCTACATGGAATGATGCTCAACACCTCAAAGGTAAACCCTATTTTGAGTGTTTTGTTTAAATGAGTAATGAATAAGACTATTAAAAGTAGATGCACCCAGAGGCCTCCTCGGAGCATTTCCACAGGGTCAGCAGTGGACTGGGAGGGAGCCACTATCTAAAGGCCGCCTGCTGTAGCATCATTTGAGCCATGCATGACTTCTGGTGGTCCACCTCCAGCAACTGCCTTTACCCTTCTGCAAGATGCTGGGTTTCTTATTATACTCTTGTCCATTATTAAGCCCTTAAGAGACACCTTAAGTATTTACCCAACAGTTTAAAATAATATTCACCTTCTTCACACAGGTTTTCCCCTGATGCAACACTCTATTAACTATTTTCCAAACTGTTGAATATAACTTTTGCTCTGAGTAATTCTAGGGCTTCAGATACTTTGAGAAGTCTAAGTGAAAAATCTCTGCTTGATGGAACACAGAGCCCCTCAGGTCCAATAGCTCCCAAATTGAATTAACTCATTACCCCACCTCCCACTATATCTTTCTTTTGCATTTTCTATCTTTGGAGACACCAGTATAGTCAGTCATCCTAGCCAGAAAAACAGACTTTTCCCCCTTAGGCTCACTCACTTCTTTCTTCACATCCAACCATACAAATTCCAAAGTTTGCCTCCTATAAATTCATAATTTATTTATTTATGTATATTTTGGTCTTAGTTGCTTTACTGTTGCTGTTATAAAACACCATGACCAAGGGAACTTTAAAAAGGAAGAGTTTATTTAGCTTATGGTTCCAAAGGGGCTAGAGTTCCATCATGGTGAGGAGGCATGGAGGCAGAGGTAGCTGGAGTAGGGGCAAAAGCTAAGCTCTCACATCATCAAGCAGGCACAGGAAGTAGAGAGTGACTAGAAATCGGGCAAGGCTTAAGAATTCTCTAGGCCCACCTCTAGTGACATGTTTTCTCCAGCAAGGCCACACCTTCTAAGACCTCCCAAAACAGTGTCATCAGCTGGGGACAAAATGTCCAAATACTTGGAGCCTATGGGGGACATTCTCATTCAAACTAGCATATTCTCTCTTTCATACTTTAACAGTCTATACTCAGAACAAAAAGTTTTCTGTTTCCTATTTCAATGTATTCAAAGGTGGGAATCAGAACCAGGGTCATTTTCTCTTGACATCAGCATAGGGAACAATTATGTTACATACATAAATACCTATTGGCATTAAATTTATAGGATGAAATAACACATACATTTGCATAAATCCCCCATGAGAAAATGAATACATCTTGGGTGCCTTACACTCAGTTAATTACATAATTACACTCCGCTTCAAAACATTTGTTGAATGAATGAATGGGTGAGCACGTGAGTGAACTGCCGAATAAACAAGAGCACGCCACAGTCTCATATTACTGGGTATCTAGTTCTGCCAGATCTAGACTATGCAGAGAGAATGGAAACCTTGCTCTGGAAATTTTTCCTGGAGGGTGTAAGGTGATGGTTTGGGTATGCTTATATTTTATTCATGCTGACAGTCAATATTGGAATCTAAACCTGTGTGTTTCATTCCAGGTGGTCTGACTGCCTTTAAGTCAGGAATGGAAACCGTTGTCACTCCTGAAGACATAGAAACTGACTTTATCAATGATCTTATTGCCCGAGCTAAGTTCTACAAAAGACATGGCTTCTAGGCAGAACACTATGGATGGGCCACATTGATGGGGTACTCAACTGGTCCCTCTTTGAGAGTTTAATATTGATGTGTTACACTCAGTACTAGCAAAGAAGTGGTTAAAATTATGAAAGAAAGTACATTTCCAAAATTTCTCAGTGAAAGTAAATACAAAGAAAGAGAAAGAAAGAAAGAAAGAAAGAAAGAAAGAAGGAAGGAAAGAAAAAAGGAATGAAAAAGAAAGAGAGAAAAGGATGGAAAAGAAGAGCTGGGGATGTGGGGATGCCGCTCAGTTGGTTGATCACTTGCCTAGCATGTACAAGGCCCCAGGTTCTATAGCCTGTTCCAAGAAAATTTAAAAATCCCCCAAGTTTACATTTTGTTCCCACCAAATATACATAGATATACATATAATTGCATTATGGTCAATATGAATATCATGGAACATGACACGCACATGTTCCAGCAAAGCCTCATTTTAGCCTGATTTTCATGCCTACCTATACCCTGTCTACGAGAATTACTAACAAGAAGTTAAGTGAGCCCTTGTCCTTTTCCCAGTATCTGCCTAAATTGCTAGGGCTCTGCTTCTGAGATGTCCCAGTCTCATAGGCCAGATGTAGCATGGGACAAGGGAGAAGCCAAGGATGGAATTCTAGTTCACAAATAACACATGAGGCTGGTCTGCAAGCTGTACAACATCTTCAGGCCCACACCAATCTCTTCTTATTTGCTGAAGATCCACAGACAGGCTTCTTTTCTTCTGTTTTCAAAAACTACTGCCACACCCTCTAATGGATCTAATGCCCACAAAACTGAGAATAAGCATGTGGCCTCTGAATCAATATGGCTCTTTGATTACAAGCAAAAAATAATCGGAAAAATTTAAGCAATAAAAGGAAGCCCCCAGAAGGTGCACAGAATCAACCAAGAATGTAAAAAGAAACCAGGCAACTCTGGGGTCTGGGGCGCAGCAGTATGTAGCCATGAATTAGCGTACCCCCAGTGCCATTCAGCTAGCACTGCCCCTACCACATGAGCCCCAGAGGTTTCCCCATCCTTCAGCATTTTGCTTCACTTTCATAGTTTCTAGGGAGAGACTCTAGTTGGTTTAACCTGGCTCAAATGCACTCACCTCTTTAGTTCTGCTTAGACTACCTTTGAGGGAAGAGGAGACAGCTCTCTAGAAGGAAGCTGGCTGCTGGATGTGGCTGGTAGTCAAGAGATAGCACAATAATAGGTTGGAGTCAGGTTCCTGTCCTTGCCAGTGTGCCTTCTGCTGAGTTTTTAGCTCCCTTTGGAGATGTGCTGGGTATTTTCCGCCTGTCATTTCTCTTTCTGAGAAGGGATGAAAATTGTACCCTTCTACCTTTGAGCTGCCTTGGGAAGAACCAAGTAAACCCTCTCTGCCCAGTGACTACTGAAACCAGCCTGAAGATCCAGCTCAGGCAGAACCAGGAGTCACTGTTTGTCTGGGAAGAGTCAATGGTGAGCTAGTGCGAAGGCCTGCAGTGTTGTTATTGTGTTTATTTAACTTTTTTGAGACAAGGTCTTACTTTATAACCCAAGCTATCCTTGAACTCGCAGAAATCCCCCTGCCTCTGCCTCCCAAATTCTGGGATTACAAGTATGTGTAGTTGTCTTTTATGATTCCAGCTATATCAGTTGTTAAATATTTTTGGTTCCCATATCTGTGTATGCTCAATCTGAGATGTTCTTCATCTGTCCACTTTGCTTAGAAATTATTTCTTCTGTATTTTCTCCCAGAAGCATGCATTTCATCTAATCCCCAGATCCTTCAATGTCCCTGTTGCAAGGATAGCTTATATCTAGGCCAAATCATTTCCAAGTAATTTGTAAAACAAGAAACAATATACTAGCTTACACCCTGAATCTATTCCTCCAGGGTTCTTGCTGTGACTGTAACACTGAAAGGTGTCCTAAGGGAGACAATAAACTAAAGGTGTCTTGGTTTAGTTCCCTCAGAATCAGACCTATGACAAGAATTTAGGTGCAGATAGTCTATGTGGGGGAACAGGAAATATTGGTATAAAGTGGCTCAGTGATACAGGAAGAGAAGATGGTAAACACGTGCCACCAAGTTGACTACCACGGTGAGCACTGCAGGATAGCTATGAAGAATTGTGCAGAGCATTCACCTCAGAATTATTCTACACCAGGGGCAGGAGCTGGAGATGCTGTACAACTCCTCCAGAAAGCCGTTGGTTGAGGGATCTCCCTGTAGAGGTGTGTATAATTCTTTGTTGTTCTGATCTGCCAAGCAAGTACAAATGCAGAACACTTGTCTGCATTTCCAAGGACAAGACATTGTGGACACAAACACGTTAATCAAGTGAGAATTCTGAGAGATCTGGGACGTGGAAGAGGACTGACCGTGCTGCCTCATAAATGCTGCACCTGAAGGCTGGGGATGTTCCTTCTAAACCGCTTGCTCCCATCTATGATTCAATAACATGTTACAAATAATCTAGAAATAATGCACATGGCTATTATGTCTCCAGACTTCTATGCTAGGCTTCCACAGACTCTATGACAATGATGGCGTAGATAAAACAGAGCTATCCCAGTCCTCATCCTTTTCGCATCTCCAACTCAACAGCTAATTCCTGGAAATTTACTAAGAACTGTGTCAAAGATATTAAACTCAAATGTGGCACCATTAAATATTCTTGTATCTTTGGCCATGTCAATTTACTTTAAATTTTTTGCCTGTATTTCACTGAGAGAGAATATGTTACTCCATATCTACATCCTACTGTGTAAAGTTTCTTTTAGTTGCCCAAAAGCTAGACCCTCAGCAGAATAAGAAGAAAAATTGTTTTATAAGTAGGTTCCCTAGGAAAACTAGCTAAGATATTGTGTGGACTTATGATTACATTTTCATCCTGTTTTCTTCTTGGTTATCAATGGCTCACACTCCAGGAGACCCATGACATCAGAGGAAATACATATTTGGTCTCTGAAGCATTGAACACAGGAAGCAAAGGAAAAAGGTTCCTGCTTCTGTACTTTTAACCTAGAGAAATTCATTATTTTTATTGTACATGTATGAGTGTTTTCCCCACATGCATGTAAGTGTACTATGTGTGTGCAATGTCCACGGAAGCCAGAACAGGGTGTCATATCCCCTGGAACTGGAGTTACGGATGGTTGTTAGCCACCATGTGGTTACTGGGAATTGAACCCAGGTCCTCTGGAAGAATAGCAAGTGTTCTTATCTGCTAAGTCACCTCTCCAACTCCCCATACTCTAATAATGCTCTTGGTATTGATGTTTAAAGTTCCGTGAGGTATTTCTGTTTTGTAATTCTCAGCAAGGGGACCATTCCCAAGTCAAGTACAATGTCCATAAACATATCAACAAGCTAAATGAGACACAGTCTCTTCACTCAAACCCTGTTCAAATATACGTCTACAAACTTTTACTGTACTTCCATCAATGCTCTGTTCCTAACTAGAGCCTCCATTAGGATCTTATTAGTAGGTTGTGATTTTATCATACCAAAGAGGCAAAGCATTCTCTAGCTAGATATATCTATCTCCATAAAACACTGAGGTGAAGGAGATACAACTTCCTGAACTACCAACCTTCTACAGTCCTACCTACCCTTATGTTTTATTCTGTTTCTAGCCCATATGAGGGCTTCATCAATGGGTTATGGCACCTCAGGTATGGGACTCCCATCTCAAGAGACTTCTCCAACCCCTAACCATTCTACTCACTTGGATAGTTAAAACTTTGAATTTCTGATACACAGTCCAGATAATGGACCCTGCTCCATTGTTCAGTCTCTCATTTTATTATCTCACCTAGATACTACCCTAGTAATTATGGGTCAGGTTTCTCTTTGTAAACTTTGCTTTCCATGGTTTAAATTCTATGCAGGGGTTGGAGAGATGGCTCAGTAGTTAAGAGCACCAGCTGCTCTTGCAGAGGACCTGGGCTCGATGTAGCACCCACATGGAGGCTAACAGCCATTCATAATTCCAGTTCCAGGGGAATCTAATGTCCTCTTCTGACTCCAGGCAATGCATGGCATGGGTTCACTTACACACATGCAGGCAATACACTCATACATATAAAATAAATATAACTAAAATATTTTAAGAAAAATAAAACAAATTCTATCCAAATTGGAGTGACTAGAGATGGTATAGTTTGGATCTGGAATTGCCCCCCCCCCGGTAAAACCCACATGGTAATGACTTAGTCCCAACTTGGCACTAATGGGAGTTAAGAGGCGGAGCCTAGTGTCAGTCTTCTAGCATTAATGGCATGTCCTGGGAGGGGATACCAAGCCCTGCCCCCTTCCTTTTCCTCTCATTCATTCCCAACTGCCACTAAGTTGAGTGGCTTTGCTCCCATGCACCTTCCGTATGGTGCATTGTTTTGTCACAGGTCCAAAACAATAGAGCCAAATAGACCATGGGCTGAAACTCCCCAAACTGTGAACCCAAATAAACCTTTTATCTTTATAAGTTGAATTATCTCAGGTGTGTGTGTGTGTGTGTGTGTGTGTGTGTGTGTGTGTGTGTGTGTTTGCTAGTGCTTTGCACATGCTGGAAAAGCATTCTACTACTACTAATCTACACCCACAACCCCATGTAATGATTATAGTAATAGAAAACTAACACAAGAGTGAGCTTTTGAGGGGCCTTTTAGTGTTGTGGGGCCAGGGGAGCGCCCTTTGGGTCACACACCCTTTGGTACTGCTCAACTCAAACCTTTGCTTTAATCCCATTGTTTTCCATTTTATTCATCCTGATTTTTTTTTTCTTTTTGAGACAGGGTCTCCCTGTAGCCCCAACTGGCCTGGAACTCACTATGTAGATCAGGCTGGCCTTGAGCTCACAGAGATTCACTTACCTCTGCCTTCCAAGTGCTGGTTTTAAAGGTGTACGCCACCACAACCAGAGCCTTTTGATTATTAATGATCACCTGAAGATCGTCACTCTTTTGGGGTGAGTTCAGAGATTCTCTTATTTCCCCCCTTCATTT